CTTTCTGCCCCGTCTATGAGCTGAATATGTAAGAAGTATTATTAGGAAAAAAAGGAGCACCAAGACATGTATGGTGGATATTATTGTAAGACAGAATTTGTGCAAACCTTTGATTGGATCAGCATTCAACGTAACATTACACGGGTTAGATGTGCCTGATGTGGACCCTTATATACAAATAGTCACAGTTCACAGTAATGTATAAACAATATGTCATTCTGAAAAGAGTGTAACCTAAATGTAGGTTTACCTATTTCACGAATGATAGGGGGATCCAATATACCCTTTCCTTTGTCTAAATTACCAAGTGATGTAGTCATACAGGCTTGATGGTTGGCAGCTGATAAACAGAATAGCCAAGACGTTTAAAAGCGTACAACGAAGCCTCAGTAGATGCAAAATGGAATGTAAAATAGCAGGTAGTATTTTTGTATTTTACTTTTCTCCAAGCAAAATAAATAAGCATCCTTGTATTATAACACTAATTAGATCAACTTTTGCTGATAGGTATCATGCCATTGAATGGATGTTTAGATGCACCTTTTATGAGCCAAACATATCAAACATTTCCTATTGAATGCAGGATTGAAAACCGCTATAATTCATAGGCAAGCGAAAAATAATTGCGATCTTCAACAGGGAGATTCCCCAATTTATATCATTTCAAACTCAATAGAATATGAAAATATCCAAAATAATCACTGAGGTAACACTTTTAGAAATGCTATTGGACTTGCTCACCAGCTTTTGTCGTATTTGGATCCAAAAAGCGACAAACACCTCATCAAGTATGGGCTAACAATCAGGACTCTAGCACAGGCACATAGAATTGACGCACAAGTTTTACGGGACTTCATTCATGATAAAACCATGTAGTTGGTAAATATTGTTTACATCATCTTGAATCTGGTTATGTAAACTTGGGGAACATGGACTGCTGATCATTTAATTTGATAGCCATTGCCTAAAAAAATATGCAGCTATCTAAGCCAAGATATTAACTTTCGAAATAGCGCCACTTTTAGCTATTGAAGACTCAAAAGGCATCTAACCAAGTGCTACAATAATGGCACTGCAAACAGACATCTTTAGCCATTAATGTTGGACACAACGTCTGACTTGTAAAGTGGCTTATCTATCTTGCCATTGAACAGAATTAAGCACTTCTATAAAGCACTGAAAAATGATGGATGTAGAGTACTCAAGTTGATCCAGAAACATCTTATCCAATACTACCGAAAGATAAGACATCTAACCTGAGAGATCCAATATACTCTTTCCTTTTTCTAAATATTTCCATCCGAACTTGTCAATGAGATGTCTAAAAAAGGATGAATTATATTTTTAATATCGTGGAACATTCTATATATTACAGATTCTATCTATTATCCACCAAGTTAAGTTTTGTCATCGCACATAGGTTACTCAAATCAAAAGGAGCAGCCTCTTCTCCTCCCAAGTGGAGCAAGAAATTAAATTGAAAGACAAATGGTAAACGTTTAGTAAAAACTCTGACTGTCAAGAATTTCCTCAAGACACTCTATCGATCATGAGGTTTATAAGATGTCTTACGTCCTTGCTGCAGTAAGTAGGTTTGGCTTATTTGTTTTTTATTCAACTCTAAGTGTATGAACTCATGTTGGTTATTATATATTCTTTAAAATTTTGTAGCTATTTGGAGCAAATAGAACAATCTGTATGTCATTGAATATATTTTTTTGTCTAATCAGTTATGCATAATAGTTGTGCAATCATTGTTCAGTGTGGTCATCGTACATATTGTATGATGCAAGTTACAATCTCACTGAAGACAAAGTGTGATAAATTAAATTTTGTTGTTTACAAGCACTCCGGACATGCATACAGGGTAGTGGCTGTTATAGCATTTACATTAACAGAACATTGTGAATTCTCCAACAGCAAGGAAATAAATCTTAAGAAAGTTTACTTATTTTTTCAAATTGGCATTCGGTAAGGTGACTACCAAATGTTAATCCCAATAGCTTGATTTCATTTACTATTTCTGTTTATCTTCTTAATTGATTTAAAGAATTGTGCATATATGTGGAAAGAATCTCAGTACATAAAATAAGTGTACGCATGTAATGTATAGGAAAGCGACAATAATGTTTGATGAAAAATTAATTTTTCCCTTTTTATGTCCTATATCAAATTGAAGATACTACCAGACCCAAATAGCTATTTAGTAGCTTATACTGATAAAACAACATGAAATAGCAGGACTTTGAGAACATCTAGGATTTTACAGATTTAACAGCTTATCAATGTGAACAAAAAATAAACTGTACATCCACATGTTAAAAGCTTCAAACTCTGATTCGCGAAGACCAAGTGTGAAAAACAAACAATTAAAGATCTCATTGCAAACTTAATATTGAAATTTCTCTTCTTTGTGAGAAAAGACACAAGGCATGGATGGTTTAGTTCAATCCATACTGTCTAATTGAAAGTAAAAGTGGTTGTTAGTATTTAGTCGCAGGTTTCCCCAACTATTTCACAATCGAGAAAATAAACCCAAAACAATAGTAGAAATAAAAAAAATGCCTAATTCATTCAGGAATTGCCTCAAACACCTAAAGACAAAGCCGTTGGACAAATTAAACTCTCTGTGCAATAAAGCCCTAACATGCCATAAAAAATTAAAAAGAAAAACACGGTATGCGAAGAAGGAGAAGAAAACTCACAAGAAACAACGATCCAAACGGGAAAATTCACAAAAGTGCAAAGATGAGATGAAGAAGCGCAAGGAGCCAAAAGAGAGAAGCTCTAGAAGAGGCTGTAGAATGCGGTGATTGCCAGGTTTTGATCGGTATAATCCAAGCGAAGCATATAAAATTAGCTGAAAAGACAATATTACCCGTGAAGTATGAAGCAGACATGTCGTCCAGGTGTGTGCTAAGTCCCTCTTATTAGATAGGAGAACTCTTACATGTTATACTTAAATTACGCGACTACTCTCAAAAGAAGCACATAACTTATTATGGCGACATTATAGTAAGTTTTTTCCTAATAAATTGCTTAACACGGCATTNCGGGTATGACTACTAGTTACATTAAAAAAAAAAGGTTAACAAATATTTACTATATCAATTATTTTTTTCTTATTGTATAAAAAAAGAATAATAAAAAATAGTGAAAACAGTAAATAAAATTAGATTATGAAGAGAAAAAGAATATAAAAAAAAGAAGTTAAATGAATTTAGAAAAGGAACAAGAAATAAAGAAAAAATAAAAGGAAAAAAGGAGTTAAATGGAAAGGAACAAGAAATAAATAAAATTAATAAAAAGTAAAAAATAAATATAGAAGGAGTCAAAATTGAGTGTGAAATAACTTATGGTAAAAATAACAATAATACGATTTGGGCAAAAATAAATGAATAGAAAAAGAGAAAAGAAGAAGAAGAAGAAAACGACAAAAAAAGAAAAGGAGAAAAGAAAGAAAAAAAAAGGAAAAACGAAAAGAAGCATAGAAATAAAAAAGAAATGGAGAAAAAAGAGAAAATTCCCAACAAAAACAACAACAACAACAACAACAACAACAACTACCCAGTAAAATCCCACCAGGTGGGGTCTGGGGAGGGTAATGTGTACGCAGACCTTACCCCTACCTGATAGGGCAGAGAGGCTGTTTCCGATAGACCCTCGGCTCAGAGAAAAAGAAAACAAGAAAAGAAAAGACAACTCATTAGTAACTCCAGTAGCAACCGTAATAGTAATGAAAGCATAACAACCAAGAGATGAAAGACATGCAATAACAGTAACCAGTATCTAAGGCCCAGGGCCAAGATAAACAGCAAGTACAGAGTGTATTCAGCCTAAACTGCAAGCTATCTAAGGTCTACCCTAATCCAGCCCCGCCTCACCCCCAGAACGAAGTAAGGAAAGAACTACTACCCCCTAGCCTACAACCCTTATGCTAGACCGCCAGACCTTTCTATCAAGGGCCATGTCCTCGGAAATCCGCAGACGTACCATGTCCTGCCTGATCACCTCCCCCAATACCTCTTAGGCCTCCCTCTACCTCTCCTCGTACCCACCACTGCCAACCGCTCGCACCTCCTTACTGGCGCATCAAGGCTTCTCCTTTGCACGTGCCCGAACCATCTGAGCCTTGCTTCCCGCATCTTGTCATCCACAGGGGCCACACCCACCTTCTTCCGTATATCTTCATTCCTAATCTTGTCTATCCTAGTGTGCCCGCACATCCACCTCACCATCCTCATTTCTGCTACCTTCTTAACCGGCCAACACTCTGCTCCATACAACATGGCCGGTCTAACCACAGCTCTATAGAACTTACCTTTGAGTGGCAGTGGCACTTTCTTGTCACACAAAACTCCAGATGCAAGCCTCCATTTCATCCAGCCCGCCCCTATACGGTGAGTGACGTCCTCGTCGATCTCTCCGTCCCCCTGAATTAGCCAAATATAGATAAATATATACAAAATTTGTATATTATACATTAATATACAAAAAATATACATTTTGCAAGTATTATTTTAGGCAATGGCTATACTGTGTAGTTTTCTCTAACGAATATACACCTACATGAAAGTCGTATAGTAACCCCTGATTCAGCTATAAATGGACATTGCAATTTGCTCTTTCCAGCAACTTATCTTGAAACACAGTAAAAAAGCTCACAGGATTTCACCTGCTTACCAAAATGAAACGGGCAGAAATGGAGCATATATAGAGAGCATATAACCAACCACAATTAATTTGCCACTGACACATAATCACTTTACTCATAATGCTGTGGTACACAAAAAGGTGACAACAGAGTACTATTATCTTCTAACTCCAATACCCCAGATTAACGCGAAAGAAGCATACTCACTTTACTCATAATGCTGTGGTAGGAACTTACCAGAGATCATAAGCTAACAGTAACCTGTATAATGCTACATCTCTTCTTAATTTATTCACATCAGAAAATAAAAGGGGGGAGAGGAAAAGGTAGAAGAAACTAATATTTCTTCCTACTGGAAACATATAGGTATACTACTACACTATAGGGAACCAATACAATATGCGCATACAAGTTCTCCAGTGCAAAGAATATAAAATACTTCTTTTGGAAGGAAGCTATTAAAAACATCCAGCTGTAACCTACAACAAGATGAAAATGCAGCTTCGAAGCTATCTACGTAATTTGATTTCCACGCGTGATCCAAAGAAGTTCAGTCAGCAGATTCCTCCAACTAAGTAAACCCACATTTGGGTTACTCAATAGCATCATGGCACTCCTTTATGTCAAGGAAACGACAGATGCAAAGACAAAAAATGAAAGAAGAGTTGGAATCAAAATGCAATAGGAAGGAGAGCTCGCAAAAAGAAACACTATAATGATGGAGTGAACGCAATTACTCTGTTTGAAGATACAGAAGATGTCACTGATTTCAGATCTGTCATGGTAAAGTAGAAACTCATGATTACGATATTTACAATTTTGGCACTTTTAAACCACAAATGGTGTTTTTAAGAACTTCCATCTGTTATTGATTCTGTGACAAGTTCTTTTTACGGGTATTTGATGCTCCCAAAGTATACGTGGTCGTACAAGTAATAAATAATAAGTCGAGTGTCGAACCCACATAGACTTGTATTAACTATCCACTAAATTCACCAAAATTGTTGTTCAAAAAAAACAATATAATGATCAACAGTTCAAATTGTGATGCCTCAGACAAATTTATTTGTGAATGTACACGGGAGTATTCTGACGGGACCTAAGGCTTTTGCTTTCTTTCAAATCCTCACCATTTACTTTATAATGCATTGAATCTTTTATGGACTTCCAAACTTTTGACATCCTTGGTGCCTCTTTTTGTACGTAATATATGAAATTGACAAATAAAAATAAAACTAGAAAAAAAGTATGGCTAACATATTTACATTGTCAATCATAACACACCAAAATGGCCATTTATTGGGCTAATGTTGTGCCAACAGGAAACTATTGTTCCGAACCATTCAGCCCAAGAAATTGTTCCGAACCATTCAGCCCAAGAAATTGGGGAGCAAACATTAATTGAAAAAGATAAAAGAAATATCGTGTCTTCAGAATTCTAATGGCTGTTAGGCATACAAAATGCAGGTGCCAAAGTTTTAGCCTGCTATTTATCTCAATATTCATAGCATTAAAATGAAACTTGAAAAAGGAACCCTACAGCTAAAGGCAGTGATCGGTACCTACTACGCTGCAGAAAGTACTTCATTTGTTCCTACTTCTTCATGTTCTAACTCCTTAACTGCTCTTACGAGACCCTTTGTGATTGCATTTAGATGCAACCCGTTCTCCTTCATCTCCTCCAGCAGCTTCTCCGCTGTTGTCCAATCTAAAGCCTTAAGGCAAAGAGATTGAATAAGTTTGTTATATTCATCAGCATTAGGCTGAACTCCGTACTCCTTCATCTCTCCCAATAGTTCCACAGCCTTCTCATACTGTTCAAGCTTGCAATAACCCCGAATAACTGTGTGATAAGTGACAGGACTTAACTTGGCGTGCTTCTTTTTGGCTGCATCCAAAACTTTACGAGCTTCATCCATCTCACCACCCTTTGTATAACCGCTCATAATGACACTGTAAGTGTACACATCGGGTTTCAAACCTCTACCCTCCATCACATTCATCAGTTTCTTAGCTTCTCCCATTTCTCCACTCTTGGAGAGCGCGCTGATAACTGTATTGAAGACTGCGTTGCCAGGTGGCGGATCTGCATCTATCATTTTCAGGAGCAAGTTTTTGGCGTCTTCGATGTCTTCGCTGCAATAAGAGCGCAATTGCTTTTCCCCTGTTACATCTTTTGCCCTGCACAACCCTTGAATGACATATGAGAATGACTTAATGGCACGCTTACGCTCCTCTTTAGGGAAATCCTCCAACATCTCTAATGCAAATCTAACGCTTTCATCTTTGCGACAAAGCGAGCTGATCAACAGCTTAATAGAAGAAACAGGCAGATTAATATTCTTCTCCTTCGCCAACAAGTAAACCAGATGTGCATCCTTAGACTTATTTCCTTTACACAAAAAAGAAACAATTTTTCCTACTTTCTCAGCACCCGGCAACATATCAGCATTTAGCATCTTCTCACAAACAGTAGAAGCCCAATCATATATGGAACGCCTACAAAGTGCTTCAATGGTAAAATAGTACGTATGAGCATTTGGAACACAATCCAATTCCCCAAACTTATTAAAGATCTCAAATGCAGCCTTTCCTTTACCCAATCTTGACAATAAAGCAATCAATTCATTAAGAATCTCAGCACTCAAGATCCCTTTCTCCTTTTCTCCGACCTCCTTCACCAAATCCCACAAAGCATAAACATTCCTACCTTCAATACAGACTGCAGTAACCAACAATTCAACTACCTTTTTCGTTACCGAAAACTCGGGTTTCTTCAAACCCCATTTGAAAAAAGATATCAAATTCTCACCAGGAACATAAGGTGTTTCAAGCACTCTAACAACAAACTCCTCATTCAAAGACAACTCAATTTCCTCAAGACTAGACTCAATAGATCTATCAAGATTACCACTACTTTGTAACAAAGACAACACACTCTCCAATTTTTCCAAGTCTAATTCTTCTTCTACAACTTCATTTTCTCCAAAATCAGAAATATTTTCAGCTGCTATATTATCCTTAATTTCATCAAACACAGTGGACCCTTCATTGGACTCAGATGAAACAGCTTCAATATTGTCTATAAAGGCAGTATCTTTATCATTTTTAATAGGTTCAGAACCTACAGATTCGGAATCTGAAGATGGGTTTGATGAAAAAAGCCGTTTTATTTCGTGTGAACAAGATTTGGTAGAGACCCAATGAGAATAATAACGAAATGGAGATTCAGCTGAATTTAGTGGAGCTATAGCTTGTTTGTCGAGTACCTGAGGAAGAACAAAGGTGTGATTTTGGAAGCCATTGAAGCTTTGATTTGCTATAAATTTTCTGGAAAATGCTTTCCTTGCCAGAACTGCAGGTCTCCACATTTTTGCTCTCTATCGGAGGAGTGTGATTGTCCCTCTGTAAAACCCTATACTCAAGTCCTCGGTTTGAATTGCAAAAATAGCCTTCTTTTTAGCCCATTCTTTATATTTTGTCTCCTCTAATTAGAGTTTTGTAAATATGGTCCATTTTAATTTTAATGAATAAAATTTGGATTAAAAGAACCTAGTCTAGTCTTATATATGATCCATCCTTCGTGTGTATGTATGTTCGCTTTTCTCCTTTTAACCTTATAAAAAATTCAAAGGCAAATTCAGAATTTAAATTTTACAAATCGAAATTTTGTCATATTTCGTCCAATTTACTGGATTCAAAATTTATTATTTTGAACGAGGATTCTATCGCCGACCGTAACTTGTTTAGGAATGAGGTATAGTTGTTGTATACTTATTTAGTGGAATTTTTAATACATATACTGTCAATCAAAGCTATTAGATTCGGATAACCCGTAGCGTCTTTACTAGATCAGCCCCTATGACGGTTTCAATTATGGGTTTCTTTCTCTCTTTCTTTTTCTTTCTTTGAATTAAAACATATATGTTTTCAATTGACAAAAATCTCATAACTTCAAATAATATACCAAAAACTTTTTCTACCGATTTCAAGTGTTGTTGGTTTCTATATTTAGGTTGATAACTAGATAAAGTAGGTGTGAGAATGGAAATGTGTGTTTAGCTGACTTGCACATACTTCTATTACAATAGAATAATCTCTTCGACGTTATACTGACAAAAGTGGGTTGCTCTAGTGGTGAGCACCTTCCACTTCCAACCAAGAGGTTGTGAGTTCGAGTCACTCCAAGACAAGGTGGTGAGTTCTTGGAACTCGGTCATTCCAAATTCAAGAATATTACGACTAGCTGGTCAGCATGCAGCAGAATACCTCTAACCATCGGTTCCCATCAAGCAGGAAAACACAAACAAATGGATGAATCAACAAGCATTCATGTCGAATGCTTGTTAATTGAAATAGAAAAACCTCCCAAATTACAGAGTTTCAACTTTTAATGCACCGCAAAAGAATTTCTCTATCAAACCTGGAGAATAAGGCAGGTAACCTGCTACAACATGTCAAAATACATCGATAGCTTGATAATGTAAAAATTCTCTCCACAGTCGGTGTACATAAGTTAACTCCAATTATATATAATAGCCAAGGATGTGAAGGTACAAGGAAATCAGTCTGCCAGGCATGATGAGCTCATAATTTAGACAAAAAGACGATACGTATAAATGCTCGTATCACTTTCCACTGGCAGAAAACCCCTCCTCAGATGAAAAGAATCCTCAACATGAGATACAAATCTCCTTCACTATCACTTTTTAGACTTGGAGGCTTTGAATATGTGCTGCTTGTAGTATTTGAGTTCGGCTATACTCTCCTTAATGTCATCCATAGCTCGGTGCTTGTTTTTCTTTTGAGGAGCCTTTCTGTTGTCTAATCAAAAAGCAGCAAAACACAACATGCAACAGTGAGAAATTGAGCCGATTGTATCAAAGCATCAACTACTGATATTGACGTATAAAAATGCAGTATAGTTTACCTCTTGGAAACCAACGAAGACATAATGCCTTTACGCTGCTGACATCCACAAGTACATGTGAAAACAAACGTGCCAAATTTGGCATAAACTTCTGCAATGAATAAATTAGAATGAGTATAGTTAATAATTAATGACGTTACAAGCCTGAACTTTGAAAGGCTATCAAGTTGACTGTAGTAAAAGTTCAAAATAATCCTGAAATTCAGTGGCACTACCACCTGAGAGATATAGTAACCACCTACATCTACTTGTAGATGAGATTCCTCAAAATGATGTCTACATGTTCAGACAGACACACCATACCTTCAAAAACAGAAGATCCGTGTAGACTGAATTTCCTGCGAGTAGTGGTGTATACGTCCTTATGTTTCTGTTGACAAATTCAGCTACCTACACAAAGCAAGGGGAACAAAAAAGAATATTAATCTAAAGGACCAACTTGTAGAACCTCTAGCACATCAGCGAAGTCTGTGGATTCAACATGTGATCTTAGCCAAAAGCCCATGTGTGGGAAATCTGTGGGTTCTTTCAACCAGTATTGCACGCGCTCTATGATGGCAGCAACATTAAAAGTATAGCAATAAATGGTAAAATAAATACACCAAGAAAAAGGAAAAATTACAACAGACTAAGACGAGAAAGAAAAAGGGAAGAGGAAATGGAAGGTATCAATGTCGATGACAGCTCTTCAAAAAAAATGAAGTTATATCTTTTGCCTTTTCGGATGAATGCCATTCATCACAAGGACCATTTCCATGTGTTAGGATGTACCTCTACCTCAAAATACTACACAGAACGGATTCTTGAAACAATCAGAGAAAATATAAATGGGACCTTATGTTCCTAAATTTTCAGATTGAAGGTACAAAATAACATAGTATATAAAGTTATTCTTGAAATCTGTAAACCGAAGAAGCAAAGCTTCAAGCCAGTTATTATTTGCTGCTTACTCTATTACATATGATCCTCAAGTCCGATAACATAAAATAATGTTCATGATATCAGCATACTAGAGACAAAAAGGAATAGGATACCTGCTTCTCGGCTTCTTCTTCCGTGATGGTACTCTTGAGCACCTTCTGAGTCAAACCTAAATTACATTAAGTTTCATCTTTGAACTAACATTACAAAAACAAAATGTACTCTATTATTGCATTCCTGATGAGAATCTTATAACCTAAAGCAATGCATATACCTTAAGTCACTTACCACTTGATGCGTGATGGCTTTGACACCATTCTCCCATATTGTCCAGATACTCCTTGCTTTGATGTATAACCAAATCAGGACCCTAAATTTGAAAGCACACAATAAATTCCTGTTAGTAGAAGCACGGAATGTATAGACGAGATGTATAGATGCACGAGGAGAGATCCAGCACGGAAAAATTCTAATGACAGATAAGGTGGAGTAAGTTCTGTGTATTGCAGATATGTAAGGATATTACCAATGCCATGCAAAGCAGTCTGCCAGTTAGCATTATGCTGATATGTACCATACGCATTACCATAGATAACTCCTCCATGATGATGTTAACAATGTGTAAACTAGAATAGAAATGTGGAATACATTATAAAAGACAGACAATTTTACCTCAATCGATTTGGTCAAATTTCCATCTGTAATTACACAGGCAATCTCCAATATCCTATCAACCTCAATATTCAAACCTACATAGAAAGGAAATGTCAAAAGAAAATAATACTACCAAAATTTCATCTTCAAGAGCACTTTTGTAGATATGCAATGCTGCATTGTTTTCAAGACTCAAAATCTGAAACAGCCTCGAGAAAACAGGAGAAAAAGAAGCTCAGAGTTTCTTCTTTGGATCAATGATTGAGAGCTGTTGGTTCATTAAGGATGACGATACTCAGGAGGCCTCGCGGACATAATATACAAAATGCAAAGTTTGAGGAGGGAAAATACCCAAGATTCATTTTATAACTATCTTTTAAAAGACTCTGGTAGTATCAACGGCCCAAGACAACACAATCAACATAGGATTGCAAACACGAGAGATTATAGAATGCTCTAAAATCATATTGAATGGACTTGATGTCATAAGTCATTGGAAAATAAAGTACAATGATTGATGTGCTTTAGTACACCATCTTTAAGAATCAGGCCAATTCCAACGAGTCATGAATTAATAATTACCAGTCATCTCAAGGTCAATCCATACAAGCGGAAATTTGTACTCTCCTGGAAGCAAAGGTGACCTCTGAACCCCATTTTCATGTTTGAGCGCTGTCACCTCTCCTGAGCTATCATCATTTTCCTTGGCTTTACCTGAAGAGTTCACAAATTGTCATTTTCTTGCAAGGATCAGCTACATATCTCCAACTTTTAATATTGACCACTCATTTATTCGACTAATAAGTTCAGCATAGCTATTGATCTAGAAAGCTTAGAATTACGCAGGCATTTAGATACAAATTTTGCTCTCGCAGGCATTTAAATACAAATTCTGCCCCCATCATTACCTCCTCCATTTACCGTCTCAGTTTCCCCATGAGTTTCTGTATCGTCCCGGGTATCTGCAACACCCAAATTCAGCCATGAGAAGGCATTTGAGAGTTGATTCATTTCAGCGAAAGCCCTTGATCATTAAGCTCCTAGGGAATAGAAGATAGATTAATGCAAGCAAACCATGACGCTTCTTCATTAGGAAGTAAAATATAAAAATTAAGGAGAACACTTGAGTATTTTTTTAACTTCAGAGACAGGTTCAATTTTCAAGAATCACTGACCAAATCATGCTCAATTGCATTAATCATTAGAAGTTACACCACAGAGTGCCCGACTTAGTAATGGAGCATAAAATATAATGCAACTCCAATACATCATCGTCCTATCACGACTTAATCATGGTTAGGTCTATAGAATACTCAATGCTTCTTCTCAATTGCTCAAGAATATCCAATGGGATGGGAAAAAGCACCTCCACACCAAGAGAATACGTTGACAACTAAAACACAAAAGAAGGGAACAGAAACAAAGGTAAGTCCTTCGCTTATATCAACTTTTCATGTGAAAATTGAGGAACAGGGGAATTAACATTATTCTCTAAAGTCAGACTTATGCTTATTTTGTTTCCCGAGACGGAGCAGGAATTGAAGTTTATGGGTTCATATCTTACCACCAAACACATAGCACGTTTTAGTTACTGGGTTAGCAATTAAATATTTATACATATTTAATGGATTTCCTAATAAAACTATAGGGTCTAAGCAAAAGTTAATGCGTTCGCTCGAACCCATAAGTTTGTTGCTCTTAAGTATTTTCTCTGCCTTGTAGAGCAGTGAGATGTCATTGTTAGAACGTGATTATCCTCCCTCATAGTCACACTATACAATCTAATGGTTGCTTTCTCTGTACAATTATTTCGAATTCATAGAAACTAATACATATCATATAACCAATACTCGAAAGCAAACAAAATTATAAATGAATAAAAGGAGCTCAGCTATCAAAGATTCAAGAAGAGCCCTTAATCCATTTCCAGTTAGTAGCATTATCA